GTAGCGAAGTACACCATCTCCCCATTGGGAGAAAACCTCCACTCTCTGATTATGGACTGCACCCTTAAGTTCATCCAAGATTGGGTCACTATCTTTATTTTCCTTAACCTCCACTTCCAAAGACGATTCTGCACCATTCTGAACTGTTACCCTACTGTCTGATATGCTCATAAGGCGAACTCCCAAGCGAGCAAGCCTGTGAACATCCTTCACTAGCTCCTTTCTTTCTTCCTTAACATGGGCTACACTACCCACATAAAATCTACTAAGAGCATCGGCTAATACATTAGCCTTACCAGGGTGATAATGCACACTCATATCATAATCCTTAAGAAACTCAATTCATCTCCTCTGGTGAAGATTCAACTCTTTTTGGGTGAACACATACTGAAGGCTCTTATAATCGGTGAACATATCTACATGGTAGTGTCTCCATATCTTGAGTGCAAACACAACGTCTTCAAGCTCGAGGTCATGAGTTGGATAGTTCTTCTCATGAACCTTAAGCTGTGTAGAGGCATAAGCTATCACGTTACCTCGCTGCATCAACACACAACCTAGGCCAACTCTAGATGCATCACAATAGTTCACATAACCATCTAAACCCTCTGGTAGAGTCAAGAAAAGAGCTATAGTCAATCTAGTTTTCAACTCTGCGAAGCTTTTCTCACAATCATATGACCATTGGAACATGACCATCTTCTGAGTCAACGTAGTCAATGGTAGGCTATAAATGAAAATCCTTCCACAAACCTTATGTAATAACCTGCTAGTCCTAAGAAACTTCTGATATCTGTAGCAGAGGTAGGTCTCGGGCAATGTTTCACTGCTTCCATCTTCTGCGAATCCACTCGGATCACTTCGCTAGATACAATGTGACTAAGAAAAGCAACGGATTGCAACCAGAACTCACATTCACTAAACTTAGTGAATACCTGGAAATCCTTGAGAGCCTGCAGAACCACTCTCAAATGACTTTGCATGTTCTTCCTCACTATTAAAGTAAATGAGGATATCATCAATAAAGACGATAACGAACAAGTCTAAGTGCTTTTTGAAAACTCTGTTCATCAAATCGATGAAAGCTGTAGGAGCATTAGTTAGACCAAATGACATAACTACAAATTCATAATGACATTACCGAGTTCTGAAGGCTATTTTTAGAATGTCACTATCTTTAACTCTACGCTGATGATAACCTGATCTGAGGTCTATCTTTGAGAAATGGCTAGCACCTTGAAGTTGGTCAAACAAGTCATCAATCTTGGGGATGTGATACTTATTCTTGATTGTGACGTTGTTCAACTTTATATAGTCAATGCACATTCTAAGAGAACCATCTTTCTTCCTTACGAACAACACTAGTGCACCCCACAGTGAAATACTAGGTCTGATGAAGCCCTTATCTAGAATGTCTTTCACCTGATCATTCAATTCTTTGAGCTCTACTAGAGCCATTCCGTAAGGAGGAACAGAAATAGGCTGGGTAAGGAGATCAATTTGAAAGTCAATTTCCCTTTCGGGATGGACTCCGGGAAGATATTCTGGAAATACTTTAGGAAATTCACAGACTATTGGAACTGACTCAAGAGTTGGGTTTTCAAGGCTAGAATCCTTAACCCGAACTAGATGATAGATATAACCCTTAGATATCATCTTTCTGGCCTTAAGGTAAGAAATAAATCGATCCATAGACGCTTAGCTACTACCTTTTTATTCTAAGATTGGTTCGTTTGGAAATTGAAAACGAACAATACTAGTTCCACAGTCAAATGAGGCTTAACACGAGTGTAACCAATCCATCCCTAGAATGACATCAAAGTCTATCATTTCTAACTCTACTAGATCTGCTGAGGTAACTTTCTAAAAGACTATGACATGGCAATTTCTGTATACCCGTCTAGCTATACTGGGTCACCGACTGGAGTAGAGACTAAGAAAGGTTTTAAGTGAGTTTCTTTTCTAATATTAAATTTTACTGCTATGTTGAGTTACAAAATACAAAGTAGTCTCTGTTGTCTTTACACTGAGTGAACCATATGTGAGTCACATCCTTAAGCTAGTTGGATGCCAATTTCACCCTATCACTCCTAGTTACTTGCATAACTCCAAATATTTTCTTGACCTCATCAATGAACTTCTGTGGGTCCTCATACAACTTGGGACCCTAAAACTCATGTGGATTCATCCTAACAAAATCACAAACTCTGGCTACCACTGATCGATCATTTCTGTTAGCAGGAACTAGAAATTGCTGATTTTTCTGGTTGATTATACTCTGAGCTAGAAGATGAATTGGCATTCTAAAACTCTGTATTAGAACTTCCTTATTTGGTACTAGAGAAATGCATTAGCATTGCGTGCATTTGCATTCCATGCCTAACCTCTACGAGAAGGCATGATCTGAAACATAGAACGTCAAGTTTGATTGGAATAAAATCATACCTTACGCACGATAAGAGTAACAAGAACGTGATGATTTTCTAAAACACTTCATAGCCTCCCTTCATTAGATGTGGTACACTTCACACCCATTAAAAGTGCTCTACTTAGTGCAACTTTTCAGACATCCTAGGACTCTTGAACCTAGTGCTATGATATCAAGTTTTGTCACGTCCCGAGCTACTCCCGAGATGCGGACACAAAACCTAGGACCATAAGTGATCCCAAGCTAACCATATTGGCATGATAATGAGCATACTAAAGATAATAAATTGATGCGGAAGCCAAATTATAATTAAATCTAAAAAGATGGGGAATACCCATATTCTATAATTGAGATATTTGAAAAAAATGAGTTTAATACAAAGAAAATATTTACTCAATACAAAGCTGAATCTAACTAGGTCTGAAATAAGCCTCTAAACTGGACTAGAAATATTGGGAAAAGCCCTCAGCTAAATCTAGCAAAAACATAAAGTAAATGAATAAAATCAGAAATGACAGCCATGGCTGTTGTCCTTGGAGAATGAGGACTCACCACTAAATCTGTTGAACTGCAGATCGGAAATCGATCTATGATCTGGATGCTGAGAACCTCAAACTATATCAAGAGAAGATGTAGCGCACGTATGCGTCAATATTTGAAAGGTACGGAGCATGTAGGATAAGGTAAAGCTGAAATAAAACATATCTGAACAAGCATAAAAACAAGTATTATAATCTAACATGATAAACTGAATTCTGAGCTAACTGGATGCAATGACCAATTTATAACATGCTAAAACTGAATACTAAATATACTGATAAATGGTCAATGCAGAGAGTTTGACTGATTTGTGGGAGCTACTAACAACTGATTATAAAAGCACATGATCTAAATGTGGAGTCCGATGTACACACCCCATTGAGAGGACCCAATATACCCTGCCAAAGGTATAAAGGAATGCTGGCATGATCACTAAAGTGATTGCCCACAAAAGGAACTTACAACCTACTTGGCTAGCAGTTCTGGGACTATTGGGTACGCTAAACCCTAGTCTAACTCGGTATTATGCTACTCCCATGAATTCTATAGATTTACTGATTATGTCGGTGTTTCTGTAAATACTAGATAGCTCGAAACTGAACATGCAAACTGAGAATGCAACAATTAATCTGGTAATTATGCATTTATAACTGAGGCATGTATGTCTGAAGTGTCTGAAATATCTGACCTAGCATGTGTAATTCATGAACTTGAAAAGTACCAAGATAGGGTTCTTGAAATTCATGCGATAATCTGATTAATAACATGATAATATGATTTTGAACATATATTTAATAGGTACATGAAGTTCTATCAAAGTTCTAGAAACCTTAGTGTCACGGACTTAGAGTATTTGCTAAGACTCCGTGCGACACTTGACAACTTACTCACAAATTTTCAAGATCTGGTAAGCTCAAGTAAGCCTTTAAGATTCGTAACGCTAAGAGAATGCAAAGAAAGACTTAAAAAGAAAAGAAAGAGAGCTTTGTAGAAGGCTTTTATATTGCTTTGGAGAATGCTTAAAACTTTGCTTGGTGCCTTTGCAAATGAGGGGCACCTCTATTTATACTACTTCCTAGGGACTAAAGTGCAATTAATATTTATTTTACAAGTCCCTAAAATATTTACACTTTGGTCTCTTTTATAGAGAACTTTACACTACCTTGGGACCTTCTCTTCTTGAGAGTGTTCTAGAGTTCTCCGCACAACTCTAGAGCAATTTGTCGCTTTTCGAATGCGGAATTTGGCAGAAATTATGGCGGGACGTCACACGCTCCCCAACCCGATGATGCGAAGACCGCGACACATTGCTCTAAGAACTCCTGGACTTTGTCCTTGAATTGCCACAAATCTTCATATTTCTCCCATGTAGCCTCTTTCTGAGTTTGTCCATTCCAATGCACAAGGAACACGACGCTGGCTTGTTGACCTCGCTTCCGTTTTGCTTGATGATCCATGATATCTTCGATCTCTCAATAATGCGAGGCGGTGACATTAATGGGTGTCCATTGGTGTCCATTGTGATCGGTTTCGGCTAGGATCTTCCTTGTCCTCATGGTACTATTTAAGGACGCTCACATTAAACACCGGATGGATCTTAAAGGTGGGACGACGCTTGTGGTCAGTGAACTTCTTCATCTTCTTATATGCCTTGTCCAAGTAGGACTTGGAAGTGTCAAGCTGCTCCTCCCATCCCTTGGCAAGATGGTAGGCACCCAAACTCTTTCCCTCAAAAGTAGTCGACAACGAATGCGATGTTTGGGTTTGTTGGCCTGTCGCCAACTCAAATGGTGTGCGCCCGGTGGATTCATTCCTCTGCAAATTATAAGAAAATTGTGCCATGTCTAGGAGTTTGGCTCAATCCTTTTGATGCACACTGACATAGTGCCTTAGATTGCACTCCAACAGGGCGTTGACACGTTTGGTCTGGCCGCCGGTTTACGGGTGGAAACTTATGGAGAAGTGAAGCTCCGTTCCATGTATTTCAAACAGTTTTCTCCAAAAGTTCCTTGTAAAAAGTGGGTCTCGGTAGCTAATGATATGTCTCGGCAGCCCCCAATATTTCACCACATTCTTGAAGAATAATCGAGCAGCTTCCTTTGCGGTGCAACCGACTGTGGCAGGCATGAATGGTAGAATACTTTGAAATTCTGTCTACCACAACCATGATCGTACCAAACCCATCGAACTTTGGCAAGGAAGTGATGAAGTCCATGGTCACGCTCTCCATGGGAGTTCTGCTACGGGCAGTGGCTCTAGTAGCTCTCCCGGCTGCCTTTGCTCCACCTTGTCTTGTTTGTACACAAGACAAGTCTGCACATAGAACTCAATGTCATCCCGCATGCATGGACAAAAATGAATTGCCTCAATCGGCGCCCTCATACGTCGCTGTCCCGGATACCCAACCCACAGTGTGTCATGGCTTTCCTTTATGATGGCCGCTTGATAGACCCGAACTTGGGTACATAAACCCTCCAACCAATAGTGAGCAAGAAGCCATTTTCTACCCAAAAGCGCCTGGTTTTGCCTTGGGCATCCAAATCCATCAGCTTCTTGGCCTTTGGATCGTGTTTTATGCCATCCTTGATTGCATCTTGAATGTCACAGTGAGCTGTAGTGATGGTAGCAAGCTCGGCCTTCCTACATAGTGCGTCGTCCAAGACATTGCCTCTTTTTGGCTTGTACTCCAAAACATAGTCAAACTCTGCTAGAAAATCTTTCCATCTAGCTTGCTTCGGGGTGATATTCTTTTGGGACAGAGAGTAGCTAGTGGCAAAATTGTCGGTCTTGACCACGAACTTGGAGCCTAGTAAATAGTGTCTCCACATGCGTAGGCAGTGCACAATGGCCGTCATCTCTTTCTCCTGCACCGTGTACCGTCATTCAACCTCATTTAGTTTGCTGCTCTCAAAGGCTATTGGGTGTCTATCTTGCATCAAGATTCCCCCAATGGCAAAGTCTGAGGCATCCATATGTATTTCAAAGGTCTTTGAGAAGTCGGGCAGCATAAAGACCGATTCTTCTGTTACTTCAGCCTTGAGACCTTCGAACGCTCTTTGGCACTCCTTGCTCCAAGCCCACGACTTATTCTTGTTTAACAACTCGGTCAGGTTAGCGGATTTAGCGGAGTAACCACTGATGATCCTGCGATAGTAGTTCACAAGCCCAAGGAATGATCACAGCTTGGTCACCTTCATAGGCGCCTCCCACTCTTGGATCGCCCTAATCTTCGCCTCGTCCATCCGGAGTTCGCCTTTGCTGATAACATGAGAAGTTCACCTGGGGCTGGGTGGACTCGCACTTCTCCCGCTTGACGTAGAGCTGGTTCTCTCGTAAGACTTGGAAGACTTTTTAATGGTGCTCCTCATGTTTATCCAAGGTGTTGCTATAGATGACTATGTCATCCAAGTACACCACCACGAACTGGTCCAAGTAAGGATGTAGAATCTCGTACATCAACGTGCAAAAAATGGCGGGTGCGTTGGTTAATCGAAAAGGCATCACCAACCACTCAGATGCTCCTTATCTAGTCACGCACGCTGTCTTTGGCTCATTCCCCTCTGTGATGCGCACTTTGTAGTAGCCTTTTCTGAGATCCATCTTGGTGAAGTACTTGGCCTGCCCAAGTCTATCAAATAAATCTGCAATTAGCGGTATATGTTACTTATTCTTAACTGTGACCATACTGAGTGCCCCATAGTCGATGCATAAGCGCAACAAGCCATCTTTTTTCTTCTAGAACAACACTGGCGCGCCATAGGTGCCTTGGATAGACGGATGTGACCGGCCTCGGGGAGATCCTTCAACTGATTCCTTAGCTTTTCTAACTCAGGTGGAGCCATGCGGTAAGGTGTATGTGCAGGTGGCTTGGCTCTGACCTCTAACTCTATCTTGTGATCTACCTCGCGCCTCGGAGGTAGAGTCTTCGGTAGCTCGTCCGAAATCACGTCCTTGTTATCTTAAATGACAATCTCTATGATCGGTGGCAAGGACTTTATAGCACCATGATCTTCTTCTAGACTTGCAATGGCAGGTAAGAACGTCGGTTCTCATTTCTTTAGGCCCTTCACAATCTGCATGGCCTATAAGTGGGCGTGTCCTTCTTTCTTTGGCACCTTGACTAGAGGCACGACATATGACCCTTCCCATTCCATGACCATGAGTCGTTGGAGGTAGGGGTCGATCATCGTGTGGCAACACTGAAAGAACTTGCGCGAGAATAATATCAAATATGTCTAAAGGAGCGACGGTAAAGTTTGTTTTACCTTTTCACTTTCCCTACGTGATGCTTAATCCTTGGGCGACCCCGCACACGGGAGTTGGTGGGGCATTAACTGTCTTGAGGCGGGTGTTTCTTGACACATAATTCAGCCCTAACCTCTCTACCGCCATTTTGGTCATGATGTTTACTTCAGCCCTGGAGTTTACCATGGCACGAGCTGGTCGTCCATTAATGGAGATGTCTACATATTGCGTGCTGAAATCTTCGAGCTTCTCGGTCTGCTTGGCTATCGCACTGCACAGTCCAACCATGCCCAACAGCGTCGTGCCCACGTCCTGCCCTTGCTCTTGTGCATCCTTATCCTTCCATTCACGTAGGATGGCACCAGTGTTCTTCATCTCGGGGCACCTGGCATAGCCGTGTGGTCCTTCGCATATGTAGCATCCATCTCCTTTGCTAGTATGCGCCCGCTTCTCCGCAGAATTTTGGCGTAAGAACCGCTTGCTATCCGACTTGTGGGGGTCGTGTTGCTTGGTTCCGTAAGCTGCGCTCAAAGGAAGTGATGGTCTCCTTTTTGTTAAGAACATCCATAAGACGACACTCCAAGGAAGTGATGGAAACCTATATCTCGAACTCGGTCCGCTGACGACCCTCTAACTCTTTACGAATGTTCTCGGTCACGTCAAGGTTGAAGTCCTAAAGGGTCTTGAACTTGCCGTCTTCCACGTTCATGCACCATCTAAGATCTTGACGGCTTGTCTCACCACATCCACCCTTGTGACCCATTCTTCTCCAGCGGTGGCGTCTATGGCTTCTTCGCCAATTCATCATCACTTGCTTCGGTCGTGGAGGGTGGATGAGCGCCTCACTAGGTGTGCATTCGGGCAGAACCTCCTCATTACCCTTTTGATGTTTCTTCGCCTTTCGGTTCTTCTTACCACCATCCATAAGGATGTCAGTGGTGCTAGCGCCGTTTAGTCCTCCTTCAGTAGTCATTCCCTTAGTATCAAACCTGCTCTGATACCACTTTGTCACGGACTTAGAGTATTTGCTAATACTCCATGCGGCACTTGACAACTTACTCACAAATCTTTCACGATCTTGTAATCTCAAGTAAGCCTTTAAATTCGAAACGCTAAGAGAATGCAAAGAAAGACTTAGAAAGAAAATAAAGAGAGTTTTGAAAAAGGCTTTTGTATTGCTTTGGAAAATGCTTACAACTTTGTATGGTGCCTTTGCAAATGAGGGGCACCTCTATTTATACTACTTCTTAGGGACTAAAGTGTATTTACTTTACAAGTCCCTAAAATATTTACACTTTGGTCCCTTTTTAGAGAATTCTACACTCTCTTGGGACCTTCTCTATCCTTTTTGAGAGTTCTAAAGTGTTCTAGAGTTCTCCACACAACTCTAGAGCAATCTGCCTCTTTTCGAACGCAGAATAAGGCTAAAATGGCGGCGAGATGTCACACTAGACTCAAATCATGATAATAGATCAAGAATATGACTGAAAACTAGGGATCCAATGGGTGAAAGGAACCTACTAGTAAATCCCACATACCTTGTGATGAAATCCACAAAAAAATACTTAAGTTTTGGGGTTGGAATTGCCGGAGCTTGTTGCATTCTTAAACTAGAGTTCTTATGCTTTTTCTCCTCTCTTGCTTCTAATTTTCTATGTTTTTATTTAATGATTTGACTTAGATATGTTTTAATTATATTTATAGGCTTAAACTGACTAAATCTTATTATTTAGGATCAAAATGACGTATCTTAAGGTTTAAATGAAGTGGAAAAATACCAAAAGACCCCTGGATAAGTTGTTGTCGGACCAAACAACGTCCAGGAGTGACGGCCCATCGTCTGAGCAAAGCCCCATTATTGGGTCTGTCGACTGGCTTGTTCGATAGACCTTTACTAAAATGGGCATAACTTTCTACTCGGAGGTATGATTATAGCAAGGTAGGTGGATGTAGAAAGATAACTCCATTTTCTATCTGTGGGTAAGTCATTGGACACCTAATTCACTTTGTTCTAAGATTTATGACTATTTGAATTTGATCCAACTACATTTCCCCTTAAAAGTATGCAATTTTTCTACCTACGGTCAGACCTACGGACTGTAGGTCCACCTACGGACCATGCTGGTCATCCATAGGTCTTTCCAGAGAGAGGGTGAAGGGAGTATTGATCGATTGTTACGGACTACGGACCGTCATCTGACCTATGGATTGTAAGTTTGTCCGTCGTCCAAGACTTAACCAATTAGTCTGGGCTGAAATTTTTGGGAGTTTCTGATCCCATCGACGGTTGTGCAGGACGGACTGTGGGTCAGGCTACAGTCCATCAATGCCACTGTTGGTTGCACCTGCGGATTTTTTTCTGTAAAGTTGGTTTTTTTTCTTTTTGGGCTACGGGGTGTTACATTTGAAGTCAAGTTAAAGAGTAAATTTATGTATTATGCCTATGTTATATCTAGTTTTGGCCCTTTGTTCTTCCTAATAGTTCATTACTAGTTTTTGAGAACGTGCCTTGCACATTTTTCTCTTGTAATTACTATAAGATTTCTATCAACTTCAAAAAATGAATTTCAGAACAAAAAATATGTGTGTATTGCATACTACTTAATATAAATATTTGTAAATGATTTAAATACAATTAGAATATATATAAATAGTTATCCATAAAATTAAATAATCAAAATAGAAGGAATGTGACACCAAATTAAAATTTAACATCAAATGAACAATCAGTTAATCCTATCAAATTATTTTAAGAAATTGTAAATTTCACATGGTATATTAGTTGTGAAGATCTCACATAATGTGTGAAGAGAATATATAAAAATTTATCAATACCCATTACTTTATTATAGCATCATAATAAATTATACAACTTCATAATACAATAGCTAATGAATTCTAAGACTTTTAATTAACAAAAAAATAAAGAGAGAAACAGTTTCAATGTAAAACAGTGGAGGAACTTCCTCAATAACTAACAAAGCATAAATAGAATTATCACTTTTTAATTGCATATATGATGAACAATTGCATAACTAAGTGTATGCATTAATATAAAGTGATTTCCATAACAATTTTTTGGTATGTATATTATAAGTCAGAAATTATATAAGTCATATAAAAATTGACGATATACATAACATCTATGAGAATTCAAATGGTTAAAGTTGGGATATGTAAAGTTTCGGACTAAAATCTAAATATGTGTGCCATATAAGTGGTAATTCAAAGGACATTTTTTTTCTTTAGTGTTAAAGGATATTCAGTTTTTAAAGGACATATAATTTACTTCCTTTTATTGATACGAAACACTTCATCTACCAAACTCCAATTTAGAATGAAAACAAATTAAATATTTTGCAATTAATTCTAGGGAAAATGCAGAATTACCCCCTAGACTATGACCGAAATCCCAAAGACACCTTAATTAAACTAAGGTCTTATTACCCCCTTCAACTTAGTTTTTTTTTGTGTAATTTCTGCACTTTGTTGGCTTACGTGACATCCCAATAGCTTTCACGCGCCTCAACTGTATGGAGTCACGAAGTGTACCACGTAAGACAAAAGGTGTATAAAATTATAAAATTAAAAAAAGTTCAAGGGAGTAATA